ATATTAGAGCAAAACAATGTAGTAAAGTTTGCCTCACAATGCTGCCTCCCATTAATAAGTGATATTAGTAGGTGAGAATTATAGTCTCCCTTTATTTTTAGTGCCTTTGGGCAGAAAGGGACATTCCCATGGAAAACTATAGGAAGAAACTTGAATACTTGTGGTCTCTTGCCTTCTACTAAAGTGGGTGACAGTCAAATCTAAGAATTAAGTCTGGCCATATGGTATATACTAAACTGAGTAGGTTCAATTTTCAGAGCTTTCACTTCCTACCAAAATTTCAATCTTCCTTTGTGGTTAACTAAGAGCAGCTGAGAAAAAACTCCCCTGTTCTAAGTAATCCACACCCGTAAATCTTGATTTTTTTTTTTTTTTTTGGACAGGCAGAGTGGACAGTGAGAGAGAGAGACAGAGAGAAAGGTCTTCCTTTTGCCGTTGGTTCACCCTCCAATGGCCGCCACGGCCGGCACGCTGCAGCCAGCGCACCGCGCTGATCCGGTGGCAGGAGCCAGGAGCCAGGTGCTTCTCCTGGTCTCCCATGGGGTGCAGGGCCCAAGCACTTGGGCCATCCTCCACTGCACTCCCGGGCCACAGCAGAGAGCTGGCCTGGAAGAGGGGCAACTGGGACAGAATCCGACGCCCCAACCGGGACTAGAACCCGGTATGCCGGCGCTGCTAGGTGGAGGATTAGCCTAGTGAGCCGCGGCGCCAGCCGTAAATCTTGATTTTAAAAGTTTGAAGCATAGTGCTATATTTATGTTGTAGTTACTAACATCCTGTGCATTTACAAAATGCATTAATTCATGTTTTCATTCATTCTTGGAAGTCAATGTATCTAAGAGCAATAAATCATCTGTCACACAAACTAGAAATTGTCACGTCAGCATGAGAAATGCTGTCTCTCCCTCTGTTCGAGTTACAGGCAAATGCTGCTCAAGATCAAAGGGACATTTTGTGCAATGATCATCCACAGCTTACAGAAACACAGACCCATCTGACTTCACATCCCTGCCTAGAAGGGTCACGTGTTAGCTTAGTGAGCACTAAAAGAAAATAGGGAATTGAATGTGTTGGAGTCCCAGTAAAGATGTAATCATGGTGCCACGTCCATGGCCAAGTCAGGGAAAACGTATGAACTTGAAGTCTATCGCCATCTGCTGTGTTTGCACTACCTACAACCCACTCGTCTCCCTTCACTCGTGTTCCTACTCCTACTCCTCATTTGGAGACTGTGTAGTGGTAGAAGGAGCTTTCATTGAGAAGTTAACGGGGAGAGGAATTGTGGCAATGACGACCATCAAGAAATGCCTTTTTTATCCTCATTCTTTAGGTGAGGACACTGATGTGTAGATATGTCAAGTCACTTGCTCAGATCATTGATTGAATGTACCTGATGGAGCTGGGACTACAGAGCCTCTGCTCCTGTTCTGTCCATGATCCCTATACCCTTAATGCACCTGCAAGGATGAAATACCTTTCTTTGAACCCTCCTGGACCCCATATTCTACAACACTTTGTGTTGCAAAAGTGTTTGCATCCAACTCTTCAATACAACTCGGTCTCATGGCATCACCTCACCATATGTTCTCTATCAGTGGGGGCTTTATAGCTTATTAACCATCATAGCTATCTTCACAGAGTGGATCACGTCTGTTTCTAAAGATTCATACCTTTTAAGAAATTATTCCTGTTGTGAAGTCTTAGAATTTGTTAATTATTATAAAGGCACTCCCTTAATGTCTATTCCTATCTCTCCCTTCAGCTGAATTATAATTATCAGTATTAAACCATACCACAGTGTTTGTAACGGAGTAAGATATTACTTATAGCTAGGTAGGATAGGATTCTTGGATTCTTATTCAATTCTGGTCCTTAGTGATCCCAGAGTAGCCATTTATTTCTCCAGGAGCCCATAAGGCACGTGTAGAGGTTTCTGACACTGTGAGTGGATGAGAAGGAGGGAGTCTAGCCCCCTGTCTGCCCTTCTAAGCTCACCCCGTATCACTACCCTTCCCAGTCCATTGGAAGAACATTGAATAATTAGTATGTGAATGACTATGAGAAACCTTTGGAACCCTTATCCTTGGAACCAACTCCCAGGACCCGATTCTTGGATTATTCTCTGCAATAGTAGAAATTATATGTCTCCTTCCCAGATAAAGACTTTTTTTTTTTTAACTATCTTGTTATTGTGTAAGGACATAATGAGACACTGGTTACATAAGTATTTTGTCCACCTGGGCCATATTAACAACTAGTTTGCCTTTAATGATAAAAATAATTATATCAACCCTTCATTATATTTTTACCTGAACAAAGGACTAGGCTAGAAATATATTCCATAGGATAAGGCAAGCTCAAACAAATTAAATACCTTGACTGGAAACACAAAGATGTTATGTGGGAGGCCCTTGTATATTCCAAGTCTGCCCCCAAGTTTTAAGGCCCCTGTTCTTTGTGCCCCACTCTTTGAGGAATCTGCTATCCTGTGATGAGGGTGATCCAGTTTTCCACTACCAAGAGCCATGGTGTCCCCAAATGCCCATTGATGGGAAAATAGATCTGTTGCGTGTGTTTATGAATTGGAATAATACACAGGACTAAAACGGGACAAACCGCTGCTACATACAGTCAAATGGTGACTCTCGCAGGTGTTAGGGCGAATGAAAGAAACCAAATTGGCAAGACTCCACGCTGGGTGATTCAACAACCGGCAATGCAAAATGATGATGGTAAGAGTCAGAACCTGAGCTATTTCTGGGCCAGTGAAGAAGCCTAAGGGAACCTGATGGGGCTAGAAGTGTTCTGCTCTGACAGCATGTGTGTGCCTGTGTCCCTGAGTGGAAATCTAAGAGACGTTGAAGATCCATGCACTCTACTGGGCATACGTCTGTTCTCTGACAGAAAAGAAATGTTTAAGCAAAGTTACTGAAACCCCCAAAGTCTAGGTATTTTTAGAAACAAAAGGTTGGGGCCGGTGCTGTGGTGCAGTGTGTTAAAGCCCTAGCTTGAAGCACCAGCATCCCACATGGGCACCAGTTCTAGTTCCAGCTGCTCCTTTTCCAACCCAGTTCTCTGCTATGGTCTGGAAAAACAGTAGAAGATGGCCCAAGTCCTTGGTCCCCTGCACCCACGTGGGAGACTCCGAAGAAGCTCCTGGCTCCTGGCTTCAGATGGGCTCAGCTCTGACCATTGTAGCCAACTGGGGAGTGAACCAGCAGATGGAAGACTTCTCTCTCTCTCAATCTCTACCTCTCTCTATAATTCTGTCTTTCAAATAAGTAAAAATAAATATTTTTTTAAAAAAAGAAACAAAAGGTTAAAGCCATGGAAATAAGTGGCCTGGGAAATCAAAAGGCCAGGGTGCCCATTGTTCTAGAACTTTTTAACAGCCTGTCTAGATGGGAGCTCATCATGGTCTCGGCTCCTGACAGCTGGCAGGAAGATGGAACTCACCTCGGCCATGTGTCTGAAACCACCTCAAAAAACAGCTGAGCCATATAAAAATTTAGAGAAGTGGTTTGCTTTCCCTCGCCTCTCCACTTCACACCCACTCCCAGAATTTAATGAAGTACTCTCTTCTCGGTGTTCTTCCTGAACTCCCTACTGTCTCTCAAGCCACGAGGAGACAGAAGCAATGCCCACCAAGCTTGAGTCACGTTTGGCTGGGATAGGAACTCAGTTTACTGCTGTCATTGGAATAATCTTACATGAAAAATATTACAGTGAAGACAGCAAGTCTTTCTCTTTAAAAAAAGAAAAGAACCAGTTGTAAAAAACATCAAGCCAATAACACACAAGACACAGAACAGGCCGGAGTGGCCTCTATTTTAAAAACTGACATCAAACCCCACTCACTTCATAAGAAGGAACTGGAGCTCTGAATTCCTTCGGAAGAGAGTGCGTGAAAGCACGCGGGGTGTGGGTGGGAAGAGACACTCACCCTGACAATGACCTCGGGCCATAAAAGACCAATTCCAGATAGGCGACCTTCTCAAAACGCTTTGATAAGTGACATTTCAGCTAATAGGAAACCAAAGGAAATATCAGTTGCCCCAGCGAACGGGGCTGAGCAATCAGACATCTGGGGCTTTTGGCATGCCTACTGAATGAAGTCATCGCGAGAGTCCACAGAGAGTTCTGTCTCCACGGCTGAGGCTTGTTTATGGAAAAATGAGTGTTGGGGCTTGGCTTTGGCTTAAGCGCAGAGCCTTCTGAGCTGCGAGTACATTGGTTATTTTTTACAAAGTAGCTCTTGTCCTGCAGAGCGAGTGTCCTGATTTTAGACCTCCGATGGAGCCCAAAGGTTTGGCCTATCAGTTTTCTTCATTTCCTCTCTACTTGGCCACCACCCCTGTCTCAAAGGGCAGCTTTTGAAAACTACACTCTCAGTTCACTTGGACGCTGGGATCTCATCTGAGTCGGGAAGCCAAGAAACACAGGAAGTATATACGGGCTGGAAGCAGAAAAATGTGGCAAGAAACGATGTGGCTATTTCACAGAATAACCAGCCTCATTCATACCCTCTCCTGGTGCATGGGTGTCATATCCAGGTCCCAAGTTGGCTCTCCCATCTCTTGGAAACAGACTGAGGGACCGAAGTTGTCACTCCTTGGGTTAACCCACAGCCTGCCATGCCTATAGCCTATATCCAAGTGCTGGTTCGAGTTCTGGCTGCTTTACTTCTGATCCAGCTTCCTGCTAAAGGGCCTGGGAAGGCAGTAGAAGATGGCCCAAGTCCTTGGCCCCCTGCCACTCATGGGAGAGACCAGATGGAGTTCCTGTCTCCTGGCTTTGACTTGGTCCAGACCTGGCTGTTGCAGCCATTTGGGAAGTAAACCAGCAGGTGTAAAACATCTGTGTGTGTGTGTGTGTGTGTGTGTCTGTCTGTCTCACTCTGCATTTCAAATAAATAAATAAATCTTAAAAAAAAAAGAAAATAGACTGAACTTCTACCATTCCAAGAACATAGGACAGACTCCTCCCAAGTTTGTTCGGGTACAGGCACCTATCCCCATGTAATTCTCTATCAGAGAAAAGTAATTACCTATTTCCATTTTCTGTACTTATCGAGAGCAGTATAGAAAACAAGGACATGATGATATAAAGTTGATAAGGCTTTTAATTACATTTCTTTGTCCACGTCTCTGTGGAGAACTCATCGTTTCCAGAATAAACTCACTGTGATACTGAGCACTTTGAGCTATTGTAGACATTGGACAAAATACAATGGACTCAAATTGTATCAGGAATGATGAGAGGAGATGTGGTAGGTATGATCAGTAGTTATCGATCGAACATACCATAATTTGTGGTCACTTACCCCTTCCTTTTTGGGAAAACATTTCTACTTTCTCCAAGGTAGGCAAGGTGAAAGACACTTGAAGGGTCCATCCATCGCCCTACGCTTCCTTCTTTAGTCTGTAGGTCTGCAAACAACAGGAAGCATTTTTAGGAATGAGAATGAGAAGGGAGGGTGGAGGAGTTTGCATTGTAGCCACAGTGAAGCTCTCCTGAGAACTGCTGTTCCTCTGGGACACATCTTGGTGGTCTTTCTCCATTGCATTCCCTCAGGCAGGTGTTAGATCACCAAAGGAGGGGAAGTGTCTCAGAAAAGGCAAATGTCTTCCCTCCCCTGCTTTAAAAGATGTGATGGTATCCAAGGGAGTCAAATTGTGTCCCACCCAGTTCTTAGAGCATGCAGAACCCCGATGGCCTGGCTCTTGTTCTGGACAGTACAAGGTTCGTTACTTCCATCGCTGTTCCCCACATGTCTCCCTGCATTGCGTAATCTAGTACTGGAAGTGCTGTGGGTTCCCAGAGTCTCTTAAAGACAAATGTGACTAATTAAGATTAAGACAAGGACCAGGCATTTGATTCAGCCCTGGAGACACTGCTTGGGCTGCCCATATCCTGCATCGAAGTGTGTGGTAGGAGTCCCAGCTCCACTTCCAATCTAGCTTCCTGCTAATACACACTCCGGGAGGCAGCAAGTAATGGCTCAAGTGCTTGAGTCCCTGCCATCCACGTGAAAGACCTGGATTGCATTCCTGGCTCCTGGTCCAGTCTGGATGCTGCAGGCATTTGAAGAGTGAATCAGTAGATGGGTGACTCTCTCTCTCTCCCCTCTCTCTCCTTGTCAAATAAAATGAATGTAACCCAATAAAAAGTTTAAAATTGCCAAATAAAACTAGCAAGATGTTAAGCATTCTTCAGAGAATGATGAGGTATACTGGGCAGAGGCAATATGGGACATCAATTTCATCTCAGAAGTATTTCCTTTATACTGCAACTTGCATAAGTCAGAAGAATTACCTTCCCCAAACTAGCACTGCAAAATCTTCGAACACCCCACCTTCCTAGTACAACTCCATATCCAGCCTTCTTGAGACAATGGTGAAAAAGAACTTGACTAATCAAAGTGCTGTGACTCCTGGTCTCTGCCTCACGCTGTGGCCCATTGCCCCCTTTCTCATCGTACCCTGATATTTTTCGGCATCCATCCACAAGCAGTGAAAAATCTCAGCTTTACCAGATACTTTGACCTTTGGGATCATCCCTCGTGTTCAAATACATGCAACAACCCATGTTTACAATGCGAGTGCTTTGGGCATTTGGAGTAGAAAACGTCTTAGTCCCATGGGGCTCTTGCAAACCTGTTCCTGCACCTTGGAGGATTATAACTTCCCCAATCTGTACCACTGGCGACCCCTAACTCCTGATGCCAACTGAAACACTGACTGGCTTTTCCTGACGTCCTCAGCAGAGAACCATTAAAAGAAAATGACAAAAGCTTAAAGACAATGGGAGAGGCTGTTTAACTAAGATGATTTTCAAACAGAGGCTGTGAGAAAGCGCATCCTGGGAAGCATGCCATACCATCACAGTCATCACAGTTCTTGGCAGGACACCTCTCTAGACGAGGCACTCCCAGTTCTGACTTATGGAACCATTTGCCATGTTAAGCACCAGGGCAGAAACCAGTATTCAGTACCCCTGCAAGATGTAGTCTTCGGGGACCACATGATTCAGCTGGAGGGAGTCTCACAAGTAGGTAAGCACAGTGAAAGAACATGTTCCAGCAGCCAGAGCATTTGAGGAAGGCAAAGCAAGAGGAAGAGTAGTGTGAGGCACGAGTGTGGGCATCACTGGGGCCGTGAGAATGTCGTCCGTGAGGCTGTGCAACTTGAGTGCCAGAGAGTCGCTCTTGCCTGAGTTCAAAGCCCTGCTCTATACCCATTTAGCTGTGTGACTTGGGGGAATGTTCTGGAAGCTTCCCAAGACCCAGTTTCCTCCTCTGTCAAATGTGATCCTGAAGTTATCTCCTTCGTGGGATGACTCTGAGGAATCAAAGGGTTGAAGCATACACCCCAGCAACGGGCATCCAACAAGGGCTTGGTAAATGTTTATGATGGTCAGATTGGAGATGGGAAGGAGGAACAAGGTCTCCAGGCAGATAAGCATCAGAGAACACATTGCAGGACATTCCACTTCTGAGAAGTCTGTGTACTGATGGCTCCCAAGTTCAGAGAAGTCAGTTTCTAATTCTGTCTGCCCCAGCATGGTCAGCATTGTGCTCTTGAGTGCAATGGTTCCCTCTGGGAGCCGCAATGTTCTTGTCTGTCAACTGGAGACACACAACTAGCATTCATGGCAACAGTGCAGCTTGGTAAGCTTTAAAGCCCCACAAATGTAGCAGCAGAGTGTCAGCTCCAAACTACAGCAAACCCTTAGAGGCAGCAAGAATGAGGGCGGGACTGGCACTCGCTGTTTTTACGGGAAATTACTTTCTTTCCCTGAGCCTCTGCGTTCTTATCTGAATGATGAGATTAATAATGTCCACTTCATGTGTATGTTATGAAAAATCCAAGATGTTGTTTATACAAAGCAGATGGCCTGGAGCTGACCCATCAAAGATGCACTGATTCTTCATTTCCTTCCTCGGACCCCTTCCTTTTCCTCTCCACTTTGTGAAATTACCTGGAACTTCAATTCAGGAAGAGCTCGTGCCTCAAGGGCACTATGTCCTGTGTTCCCACGCTGCCCATGGAAGCTGCCGCTCACCAAGGTCAGAGGGGGCAGGAGGAGGGGTCTCAAAGGAGAGCTTTCCAGGCCTTACAAACAGGCTTTGCCCCTGCGAGGCCTGTTGCAAGCTGACAGGAGACTGCACAATGGGGTCCCTGAGGTCAAGCTCAGAGGGCTCTCCCACAGAGACATGTCATAGAGTGTTCTTGTAGCTGGCAGCTGCAACGGATTCTAAATGAATCTATCCTACACCGAAGTGCAAGCAGCCCACAAGAGGACTAGAAATGAAATCAAGTGACCCCGAGAGCACAGAGGAGAGGAAATGAGAGGGATGCCATCCCCAGCCACGTGTGCTGCTAAGCACGCACTTGACCCTGCATGTGTGTGCTGAGTCCTCGCGGGTACCACCGTGGGGTAGAGGAAGACAATGTCCACATTGGAACTTCCTGGGCATGGCTGCCCTAGCTTAACTCGTGGCTTCTCATCCTCTCAAGGAGCGATGTTAGGGCACAAGGGGCATATTCCTATTCTGAAAAAGTATAGAAACGGGATCCATGAAAAAATAAGCACTAACAGACTCAGTCAATTATCTTGTACTTTTGAATGATGTGGGGCTCTGATGAGTGATGGGCTTTTATGGGCTCTTCTATGGTCCCCTCTAGCTCCAGTATTCCGCGATGCCAGATCTCTGTGTCCCTGGCATTCATGAGGAAATTGCATGGATGGGTGGTTACTATCAGTAACATGAATGACTCACTGAGAATTTTTAAGGAATTAGACTGCACTGAAATCTATGGTGAAAGACAATGAACCTAATTCAATTCATGTGATGAAATCTGGCAGGTCTTGAGCTGGCATTCCAGACCCAGACTGGAACCATGCTGGTTGACAGTCCTGAGTGGGGATGAGGGTAGCTCTTTGTGGGGACCCCATCCCTGCTTTTTCTAACCCTGTGAACTCTAGCCCCTTACCTGACCTCTCTGAGTCTCTATTCCTCCTCCACAAAGTGAGAATAGCTCACGCCTCACAGGACTGTTGGAGGCTTAAGTGAGAGAAAGCTTTTAGAAATGTTTCCCACATGGAAAATAAGAAGTATTCTCCAACTACTAAATGTTACGTTAATGTTAATATTATGGCCATTATCATCCCTTTGATCATTTTATCTACTGGAAACGCAACTCCTGGGAAGTCCAGGTTTGGACATGCATTTCCCTGGAGATCTAGCAATAGCTCAGAATTTGGGTGTAGGCCCTTTCACCTCCTTTTTTTAATATTTATTTATTTATTTATTTGAGAGGCAGAGTTACAGAGGGAGAGACAGAGAGACAGAGAGACGGGGAGAGAGAGAAAGAGAGAGAGGTCTTCCATCTGCTGGTTCACTCTCGAAATGGTGGCAACAGCTAGGGCTGGGCCAGGCCAAAGCCAGGAGCCAAGAGTTTCTTCTGGGTCTCCTATGTGGATGCAGGGGACCAAGCACTTAGGTCATCCTACACTGCCTTCCCAGGCCATTAGCAGGGAGCTGGATCGGATGCGGAGTAGCCAGAACTTGAACCGGTGCCCACATCAGATGTCGGCACTGCGGATGGAGGCTTTACTCTCAGTGCCACAGTGCCGGCCCCTCAGCTTCTTTTTCTCCACATTCTTCTTGGATATTCTCACCTGCAGCCATGGACCAGCTGTGTTTTTTACCCCAGGGATGCCCACATTTTGACATCCAGCACAGAATTCTCTCTTAGGCTTCAAAACCATACATACACTTGCCTTGGGGGTGTTTCACAGACCTCTCAAATCATAGTGTGCCAAAATGAGACTGATTTTCTCTTCATAAAATCCTTTATGATTTTCTGTTCTACCAGCATGATATCAAAAACTATAGAGTCATCATTTTCTTCTCAGTCTCCCTCACTGCTTTCCCTCTGCCCAAGTGCCAAATCATTAGTCCTATTCATTTGACCTTCTAAAGGATCTCCTTATCTCCGTCTTCAGTCTAGTCCAGTCCACCAGCCTCTCTCTCTGTCTCCCAAATTGCTCTAACTTGTTTTCCTACCTGCAATCCTACCTACCACGGAAAAGCAACAGTAATCTTTCTATAATGTTACATGTATTGTTCATACTGAAAACTTATTAATGGTCACCTATTGTTCACAGGGTAAAACCCAAGTTCCTTAACTTGGCTTTCAAAATGACCTATGCACCTGCCCGGCCTGACCTCTGCCTCTGCGAGCAAATCATTCTCAGTGCCCTTTGGCTCCAAGAAATCCCCAGCTGCTCTCCTGTTCCTGATCTTTGCATAGGTTGTTTTCTCCCCCGATGCAAAAGTTTCTCCCCCCACCCACACACACCCACTTGTCTCTCTCCAAGTAACTCTACCTTATCCTGCAGGTCTTGCCTTCAGTGTCAAGTTCTCAGATGGCTTCCCTGTCCTTCAAACCTGGAAGGGATGTCATTCAAGATTTAAGGATTCAGCTCTTCCTTACACAAATGAAAAATGCCCAGGTAGTGTGGCTGCCATGGCCAACTGCTTCTCTTCACATACAAGTAAAAATAAAAATGCTACCAAGGCAGGAGGCCCCACAACCCTGGGACAGTGTATTCCAATACTGCCTCCTCCTCTTCATCTTCTCAGAGACCAGGAGATCTACTAGGGTTCAGGGCTTTGACTTGGGTACCATGAAGTTATGCCCTATAAGCCACCATCTGAAGCACTGAGGGTCTGGAGCATATGGAACTGTTTGTGGGAGGAGCAGAAATATTATCAAAGTAGGAGAGTTGGGGCAAGGAGCAGGTCCTGAGGGAATCTGGGAATCAGGTTTCTACTTCTTTCTTTCTCCTGTTACGTCCTCTCTGCCCTCCCCACCCTTGGCCATGTGTGTAGCCATGGTCCTCCTGCAAGCATACTACAGAACACCTGGCATGGTAACTCAGCAACACCAGGAGAACACATCTGCCTTCGGGCCCCTGCCCTAGAGACTTTGTCTTTGGTGTGCTGGTTTTGCTATTTGACAGTTCTTTAGGTCTTATATTGAGTGAGGGTCCCTAGAAGCAGAGCCCAAGATGGGGAATCTTGTGCAAGTGAATTCTAGAGGGAGTTCCTCCAGGAGAAAAAAAAAATGAGAGAAACCTAACAAAGGAGGGGAAGAATTTAGGCAAGGAAGTGATGGTGCCTACTGTTCAGACATCCTGTTCCCATGGAGAGCTCTGGAGCTGGACTTCCACAGGTCCTGTCTGACCTGGAGATGAGGGAGCAACTCCTGTGAACTCCTGCACTGGTAAGTCAGGGACACAGAGCTGCTCCAAGAGGGCCCAGAGGCAGGCAGGACATAAATCCCAGAAGTCACAGGGGTAGATAACTCCATTTGCCCAAGGAAACAACATAAAACTGTGGACATGAGTTGCTAGCAACAACACCTACAGCTGCTGATGAAAGGAATGCAGAGATCTGGGTGGGGTGCAAGCCCTTCGCTTTTTGTTGGCACCTGCGTATGCCCTTCTTCAGCTGAAAGTCCTGAACAAGCACGCTATTTCCCGGAGAGGTGGAGAACATCTGTCAGCCCAGCGATTGCTTCTCCCTCACACTCCACCCCCACCGCCCCTATTCTCTGATAGCTTAGACTTTTCTGAGCGCTGATATCACAAGTCATGACCCAACCACATTCCCTGTCAGCGGCAAGGCTGGAGAAACAAGCTGCTGCCATTTCCATCCCCAGCTATATAGCCCCAAAGCAGAGACATCACCAGGTATTTGCATTGCCCAGCCATGTCTGGCTCTGCCCTTCCCAAGGGGCTCAGAATTAGCAAGCGCGTTGTCTTATAAAACTTGGACCACCTGCTCAGACCATGGGACCAGCTCTTCAAGACTCAATAGATCAACGAGAAGAACTTTGTGGAACCCTTCATGAAAACTCTGGATATGTTAGTGTAGAAAATGGGTGGTGCTGTCACCAGACAAACTTGAATTTGTACCCCAGATTCGCAATTCACCATCTGCAATATCCTGGGCAAGTTACTCCCTTTCAGAGATTCAGTTATAGAGCAGAAAGGGTATTTGCATGGCCAGGTTGCTATGAAAATTACATAGGACCTGGCACCATAGTAGGGGCTGAATAAAAGAAAGCCATCATTCTGAAGTTATCTCTTTCAACAAAAGAAAATAACCAGAAAGGATTAGGAGTTGATATTTTTGGAGAGAGGGAAAGAGTGCATATGTGCATTAGGAATTGTTGTCCTGAGTGCTAGAACACTTATTATTTCATGAAATGTAACAAATTTAGGGGGACTGGGATGTTATGATTATTTGTACTTTAAAGAGCCAATGACAAATTACCTGAGGAACAGATGCTCTGTTGCCTTTTCTCTGTCAAGGTCAGGTATTAATGATGAGTATTAATGATGCTCTTCACATCTCTCCATACCTGCAAAGCTAAAGGGAAGCCCACTAATACAAAATTCTAGGAGGGGCCAGTACTGAGGTCCTTCCCAATCATTGCATTTCTCATTCATCTAGCTCTTTCTAGAAAAGACAGTGCCAGCATGGAATATCATTGATGAATAAAAGCAGCTCCCCGTAGAGTGGCATCTGTCCTAGCTCTGCATTTGGAATCTGGGAGATAGATTCAGATTCTAGGTCCTTGCATAGCCCCCAGAGTGCTTGCATAGCCCCCAGAATGCCAAGATACCCAGCTGTCTGCGTTTTGGTTTTGATTCATCATAAAACTGACAGATATGTAGTGAATGTTGCTCTCTAAATGACCAAGGGTCCTGTTCATTCTTCTTTCAACCAGATCCTACTTCATTAGAGACTTTCCTGATGTGTCATTTGGAAACTGATACTTATGCCCCACGACACACCAAAATTTTGTCTGTTTGTGAGTCTTGAGTACCTAGTTGCTGACAGTGTTGGGTTGTCAAAAGAAAAGGAGCACCTGCCCTAACGCAAAATGGACCCAAACACTTTGCTTTCTCACCACTCCATTTCCTAAGCTGCTGAGGCTCTGGTTCCATGAATGGGGACTAAGCTATACCCCTTTGAGTCTGAAAATGTAATTTAGAGTGAGATAAAGTTGTCAATTACAGGTTCATCTAAAACATGCTGATTCACCTACTGTTTGTGTAAAGGCCACTATAATCATCCTGGGTTATCAGCAGCATTAGTGTATACGAGCTTTAAAAATACTTGAGTATTTATTGTTTTAACAGGAATGTTCTCTGTACTTTTCATGGACTTATTTCACTAAATTTTTACAACAACCCTGGAAATAGAAAATAATTATTATGACTGTTTTATAGATGAGGATGCTATACTGTAGAAGATGAGACAATTTCTCAAAGTCAATCAAATCATAAAAAGTGGAGCTGATATTTGACCATGGGGCTACTGGATTCTAACACACAAGCTCTTTTTTTAAAAATATTTATTTATTTATTTTAAAGATATAATTACATAAAGGCAGTGGCAGAGAGAGAGAGAGAGAGAGAGAGAGAGAGAGATCTTCCATCTACTGGTTCACTCCCCAAATGGCCTCAATGGCTGAAGCTGGGCCAATCTGAAGCCAGGAACCAGGAGCTTCTTCCAGGTCTCCCATGCTGGTGCAGGGGCCCAAGGACTTGGGCCATCTTATACTAATTTCCCAGGCCAGAGCAGAGAGCTAGATCGGAAGTGGAGCAATCGGGACTCAAACTGGCACCCATGTGGGATGCCAGCACTGCAGTCAGCAGTTTTACCCGCTATGCCACAGCAGCAGCCTTGGCACACAAACTCTTAAATCCTTACCACTTTTACCTTTAGAAAAGTCTAAACCGTGAGAGAAGCCAATTACATTGCTTTTCAAAGGCAAGAACACTCTAGTTCTAATTGCTTGTTTCAGATACATGTACTTCCTGGAGGTTAGATAAATTGAGTTCCAATCAAGTTTAGACATGTAGTCGAACTTGCCAAGTACAGTATTGCCAGTTGTATTTCACTGACTTCCTCCTGCATTCATTCATTAGGGCTGCCACAGCAAAATATTGCAGAGCAGATGGCTTATACAACATCACTTTGTGTCTTCACAGCTTGGGAGGATGGAGGTCTGAGATCAAGGAGTCTGTAGCATTGATTCTCCCTGGAGTCTTTTTCCTTCTTGGATGACTTACTTCTTGCTGTGTTCCTACGGTTGCTCTGTGAGCATATGAGCCTGATGACTCCATCTCTGGCCTAATCTCTTCTGATAAGGATAGGAGTCATATTGAATTAAGGTCCACCCTAATGACCTCATTTTTAAAATATTTATTTATTTAGTTAAAAGGCAAAATTAAGGTGGGGAGGGAAGTAGAGAAAGAAAAAATGAGAGAAAGATATTGAGTGAAATCTTTAATTCATTGGCTCACTCCCCAAATCCCTGCAATAGCTGGGACTGGATCAGACTGAAGCCAAAAGCCAGGAACTACAGCAGTGTCTCTCACATGGGTAGCAGGAGCCCAAGTGCCTGACCTGTGATCCACCACATTCCCAGATGCATTAGAAGGAAGTTGGGTTGGAAGTGGAGTAACTGGGGCTTGAACTGGCACTCTGATATGGGATGAAGGCCATATCTCAAGTGGAGACTTAACCCCCTATGTCCCCATTTTAACTTAACTTAAAAGACCTGCCTCCACATGCAGTCATATTCACAAATCCTGGAGGTCAGAATTTCAACATGTGGGTCAGGTGGGAGGGGCTACCATGCACCACATAGTACCTAATAACTACCCTACACTGTGATGGGCATTTTGGAAAATAACTCATAAAGGTGAATGAGTCAGGAGTACTTCTCTGCACCAGATCTACAAGGTCCTATATAACAATGTTAAGGAGTATAAGATGAGATTTGGCATGAACAAAACACAGAATAAAGTGCTGGGGATGTTTAAGAAAATGAGAGGTTCAGAGGGTCAAACGAAACCTCCTGTAAACACAGCCGTTGAAAAAGTTCCCGTACAGGATTTGATCTGAGGTTAAAACACAAAGCAGATAAGCTTTAGCCCTGATAGTCTGAATCCCCCCAAAAATGGGATAGTACACCATTTCCTCACATTTTTCTTTCCTTTTGTGACCTTTCCACCTACCAATTCTGAGTTGAGGTCAGAGTTCCTGGAGCTCAGATTTTTTTTCAAGGAACAGGATAGCCGTGGGAGATGATTGCCAAGACTGGGTGATTGCTGTAAATGGTTCTGACCCAAAGCTTTCAGCCCTTTTCACGCCTATGCAAGCATCTCAAGCTATCACCAATCCCTTAACTTGTAAAGCAAACTAAGACTTACCTGGCACAGCAAGGACCTTGAGCCATGAATCCATCCAACAGGTTCATAAATTTGCCTCTCAGTCATATCACACATGGTGCTTTTCAAAGCATATCGCTGTTTTTGTCCTCATAGCAACCGCAGTGTGGAAGATGTGTTGTAAGATAATGTGGGGATTTTTTCCCTCCATCTGCCTGACTCGTTCTTCTCTCCAGCCCTTTCTGTTTGCCTTGAAAAGCTTGAATTCTAAGAACCACACCAAGGATCTCTTGTAATGCCTTCCTCCTGGATTTTCTAGCATGTATCTTGAAGACCATTCCATTTCAGCAAATACAGATTTACTGCATTGTTTTGTTTTATTTTTGCTTTATCTGAAAGGGAAAGAAAGAGAGAGAGAGAGAGAGAGATTGATTCCATCTGCTGGCTCACTCCCCAAGCCCACCTTGGGCAGACCTGAGCCAAACCAAAGCTAAGAGCCTAGAACCCAATGTAGGTCTCCCACATGGGTGGCAGCAACCCAAGTTCTTGAGCCGCCACCTCTCAGGATGAGCATTAGAAGGAAGTAGGACCAGAATGGAGCTGGGACTCAAACCAGTCACTCTGATATGAAATGCAGGTGTCCCAAGCAGTGTCTCAACCAATGAGCCAAATAGTTGCCCCACATTCCTTTAACAGCACCCAATCTTTGCACTCTGCCTTCTGTGTAGCACATACTAAGGCAGGGGTAGGGACCTTCCAAAAGAGGATGTCCCATTGAAGACCCACCCCCACACCACATTTTTATTTGGTATGCCAAAAGTGGAATATAGATCTGCATGCTAACATTTGCTGTTTGCATTCATAATTTTGTAATAAATCTTCTAGGTACCATTAAATGATATTAAACTTTTACTATGACAAACAATACAGCAACGTACATATTATTCATTGTTGTATATATGACATCTCTCACAGACAGAAGCATCTAAACATTTCCAGAGGTAGGACAATCATAAGGTCAAATTAGATGTCCTTTGTAGCACACACACACACACAAAATTTCCTGGTTTCCCCCCACAAAGATTATCACCATTTCTAGTCATACACAAGAGCATATGGCCCCATACTAATGGTATGTATAGTCAAACTACATTTGTAGAAAAGATAAACACTATTTTAATAAACACTATTTTAAGATAAACATCATTTTAATTTGGATTTCTCTTATAATAAAATGAATGTTTCCATTATTTAAATGTCATTTGTATTTCATTGTCTCTGTATATATCTTTCATTGAGTTGGTCTTTTTTTTTTCATTCACTCATTCAGATTTGATGAACCCGTGAGCATGTATCTGGTATTAGATTTGCATGTGTGCTTTGACTGTTTATAGTGTTTTGTGGCATGTAGGTTTTCCTTATTTGTAGTTTAAGAGAATGCCACATTTTCAAACATTTATACAATGTAGTGCATTACTATGGCTAACCACATCCTTCTCATCTGTTTCTTCCCTCTCATCTTTTTTCACTCCTTCCACTGGCAGTTACTGAAAAAACAGCTGATTGTAGGCTTCCTAACTCCAAGTCCGAACTTTTCCTTGCTCTTCCAGGTTGCATAATAAAGCCTGTTATAAATTTGGTGGAAATATGAAATGATACAGCACCAAGAAATTTCCAGGTCAACACTGACAATAGTAGTATCTGAGAGCTTTATATAAATTCATTAGGAAACAATAGAGTAAAATCACATAAACACGACTCACAGGAGGAATTAATAGGATCCATGAAATGCAAATCTTCATTAAACATTTCTTTCAATATTTCCTTGCATGAATAATTCTTCCTCTCCCTCCCTTTTTCCCCCCTCCATCTGTCTTCCTCCTTCCTTGCTATTCTTTCTAACTTACTTGAAAAACAAGTCATAATTAGTTATTGACTTTTAAATCTTTCTCTTGAGCTGAGGCAAAACTTCACCTAGGGATATTAAAACAGCATCTAATGAAACCTTGAAAAAGGATGGTACAATCGCAACACAAAGTCAAAAGCCATGTGGACCACGGGCAGTGTACATTTAAATAAGTGTATGCCAGAGTGTGGACATTTTTAAATCAGCATTCTGTAATGAAAAAAAAAAAAACCTTTGAAACAATACATTAGGAATGTCCCCATAAACACACCATCCTAGATTAATTGTTAGATATTTCCACTCTTTTCAATTTTTCAGATCTCTTTCTGTAACAGATTTCTATTGTTGTTAAGCTGCTTCATACATTGTCAGTCTGTGCAAAAACAGTCCAAAAGTAATGCGTATTTGGTGATGGCAGAAATAAAAAAAAGAGGGCATTTCTGGAATATGTTGCTGTCGCTATGAAACCTACTTTCTTATTCTGTAGAACAATTATTGGTAAAATATATTGAGTAAAAGGCAAGATATGCAGATCATACAGTCTCTGAAAGAATTACTCAACTCTGCCACTGTGGCACAAAAATAGTCATAGATGGTTTGTAAATGAATGGGCATGCTTATGTTCCAATGAAACACTGATGTATAAAACAGGCTGCAATCTGGATTTTGTTCACAGAAAAGAGTTTGCCTACCCCTGATGTAGAGGATAAAAATTATTTAAATGTTGTTTGCTTGTAATACACACGCATACCTATGCTGGATGCCTTCTATTTGCCCTCAAAATCCACCTGCCATCCTTCTCATCTTACTTCCTGTAGGGCAAATTAACTCCCATGGATTCAACCTAATCCCTAGCTTCTGTTTGAGGTCAGCCAACAGAAGACATTCTTAGACACCCAGAAGGTGAGATAAGAATGAGAATAAGACCTGTATTCTCTTGGCTTTCTCCGTGGTAGGTTAGCACAGATTGGCTGTGTGTCTATCAAAAAGCCCAAGATCTTGTCTGGTGACCTCCCATTATAACAACTGTGCTCCCAAGGTTCTTATAATTGCTATTCCTCTCATGCCTAGCAGTGGTGGTTAGGGCTTCCTTATGTTGCTAGCCCCTGAATATTCCTTGTTGGTTTTCCTTAAGTCAAAGTGATTCCTATTTCCCCTTCAGTAAATTGTGCCTGTAGCAAATTGTTCTGAATTATTCCATTTGAATGTGCCATCTGTTTCCTGGCAGGAATTTTGACTTATTTCATATACTTTTTCTCAAATAACTTTGAAAACTTTGGAATATCAAGCTGCTATTGTGTGCAATAAGCAGAGGTCAGTGACTGTAGAGAAGTAATACCTTATTTCATCTGACACCAAAATAAGGCTCCTGATTGACCATTAAGTTCTCCCTCCTCCATTTACTCCTGTTGACACCCTTCACAGGCTACTTATGTCTGAAAGCAAGACACAAGCTCAGAACATTCAAGTTTATGCCACTTCCTACCTACTTGCATCCTGCTATATGGAATTAAAAACCTAAAACAATGCTAGAACATTAAAGAATTGCAACAAATCCAGTGTTTGTGGTTTTTCTCTCGCAAAAAATATCTATTCCAATACTTTAAAAATTTACAAATCCATTTCAAAATAAAATTGCTGCCCTTCTGATTCACTGGTATCTTAAGCATGTACATGGTCTGCCAGTTGGGAAATTCAGCTCTGATACGTAACATAAAGGTCAAATTCCCCAGCATGGAATGAAGAATTCTTGATGGCTTGGTTTCTGTCTATGTCTTCAACTTCATTTCCCACAAATCCACCCTCCATGCTTGTGTTTCAGCCACCTATGGCTGTGTAGACTCTACAGTGGGCATTGCAGTGCAGTCTTCGTGAATGATGGCTTGTGGGTTGTACAGTGTGGCGGCCACGTTTCAGCCACCGTTCCATATTTTACTAGGTTCATCCTAGCCCGATCCTCGGACATGGACACTCAGGTTACGCAGGTTCCAGTCTGTGATTTTGTTAACACTGTCATATTCTGTGCAATCCTCTAACTCTGCCCATTCCACCCATACCCAAGGCCTCTTGATCAGGCTGAATCCTGTTACTCTGATCCTCAACTCAGTCGTCCTTTTGTCCCAGCAACCTTTCCTGAGAACTCTGCCCTGTACTCATCACCTCCAGCAGCTTAATCTACACTGGTTTACAACCATCTGTTGATAAGCCCTTTACCTCTAAGCTATGGGAGTTTTAGGAGCGAAGATAATTTTTCATCATATGTCTCTGGCTTCATGAACTGAATTGTCTCAAGTTCTTTTTAGCATAACCTTCCTCAAAATTATAATAAAGTGGCCAAACTCATTCCTCAAAAATGTATGACACTGTCAAAAAGTTCTTAGCCTTCTCCCTTTCTTCTTAGCATTCTCCCAACTGTCACACAGATGTCCCACCTTGGACCCCCTGGTTTTCCTAAAGCTTTCACTAAGAGAAAATATTTCGGTTTTTGAGTCCTAGCTCAAGACTTTCTCTTTGCTCATTAAAATTGCTCACTATAGTATTTTTAGCAAATTCTTCAACCCAGCTCTCCACAGTTGATTTGATGAACTAGTCTTGTACTTCCAAGACAGCGTGGTAATTAGCTTTGGCTAGTATAGGGAAAAATTACTTTAATGATTATAATTAATTCCACTATTCTTATAATACATACAACTAGGGTATCAAATTAGTAAATTCATAGCTATTATTGCTTAGGGGGAGGTTAAATCAGAAAAGTAAGTTAGTTAAATTTTTGGAATGTTAAGAAGATAGATAACACACAGATATAGGTCAAATCAAGAAGGGAAATGTTCAAATATGCTGATGAGTTCTACATGTCAATTTGTCAAGGCTATGGTACCCAGTTTTACAAACAAGCACTAATCTAGGTGTTGCTAGAAGGTGTTTTGCAGGTACGATTAACATCTACAATCAGGTGATTTTAAGTAAGGGAGATCATCCTCTCTAATCTGGCTGGGGCTGCTTTAGTCACTTGAAAGGCTTTGACAGCAGAATTGAAATTTCCCTGACAAGGGGGACATTTTTCCAGAGCATCGCAGCATCAGTTTCTGTCCAAGAGTCTGCAACCTAGGGGCCAGCATTGTAGTGCTACAAGTTAAGCCACCAACTGGGACTCCATCATCTCGTATTCAGGTGTTGGTTCAAGTCCCGGCTCCTCCACATCTGATCTATCTTCCTGTTAATGCATTTGGAAAGGCAGTAGATGAAGGCCCAAGTGCTTGGGTTCCTGCCACTCAAAAGGAGAACTGTATGGAGTCCCTGCCTCCTGGCTTTGACTCTCTCTCTCTCTCTCATTGTGTGTGTGTGTGTATGTGTATGTGTACCACCACCTTTAAAAGAATAAATGAATCTTAAAAAATAACTCTTGGCCGGCGCTGCGGCTCAATAGGCTAATCCTCCACCTAGCGGCGCTGGCACACCGGGTTCTAGTCCCGGTCGGGGCACCAG